CATGTGTGTCAAAATAAAGCCATTAAAAACTGTTAAATGCATATATGTAAACATGTTTACTAGCAGAAAAGACAATAGGGCGGCATCCTTTTGTGTTCGTCAAAAGAAGGCCGACAAACACACTATCTACAGATATTACACGTGTGTTAAAAACAAAACTATTAAGAACTGTTAAATATTTTTCTGTAAACATATTTACTAGCAAATAGGACAATAGAACGGCATCCTTTGTGTTTAACAAAAGAAAGCCGACATGCATACATAGGATGTTCCAATTTACTACGTTGTAAGAGATCATGATTTAAATAGATAAATAGAAAACAACTTCTAAGGAATTAATTGTATTGAAACATTAGTTCAGGTTTTGATAATAGAAAGGAATTTATTAGAATTTCATAAAAACACAGTATGTAAAATAATAGTATCAACAGAATGAGCATTTATATATGAATACTAACGTTTATCTAATTATAATGATTTATTAAGTAAATTATAAATTACATTTTTATTTTTATTACAGACTTTAATATTAATTACATATTATATATGTGTTTGCAATTTATTATAAAGTTATATCAACATTAAATTAATAAACAAGTAAATATATTATGTAAACTCGGTAAATGGTTATTTATAATTTATATAGGAAAAATATTTGAAAACAAAATAAAATTTAGGATAAATAAAAGTGTTACAAAATAAATTTAAAAATCATCCTGTATAATTAGTGTGAACTGCATAAGAACGAAGTTCTCACGTTGAGTTATGTTTAGATATATATATATATATTTGGCAAGACCAAAATTGGTAGAATTGTGAGGAAGGATCAAAAGAAAGTTTAGTCGTCGGCGAGCTTCCGTAGGAGTAACAAGTGTATATTTAACTCTTTTAATATTCGTAATAAAGGAGATTTTAGTAAGTGATTTTAATACTTTAATATCCGTTCTTGTCAACATATTGGTAAGTCATTTTAATTCTTTCACTTTATTTATTGTGCTCATAATATACTGTATGTCTGTTATCATTTGACTGTATTATTGGGATATGTTAGATAAACTGCCAAGTTAATTAGGAAATGTACATGTGTTTATTTATTTTATGATTTGCGTGGAATTAATATGTTGACGAATACATTGATTTAGTTTAATTACTTATAATATAAAATTTAACGAGCATGGTTTATTTGTGTCTTTCTTATATTACGATAATAGTCTCAATTTGTACCTAAATCTGAGTTATATTGATTTATTTTCTTTAGTTAGGTTGAAAGGTTAGGAGTTTAATATTAAAGGTGTATATTTACTCGTTAGATGCTAATGAATTTAATTGTGTCCTTTAACAGTTGTTGATAACTCTAATATTTTATATGAGAATTATATTAATAATAAATTTACTACGACTAAACTAAAAGTAAATTAAGGAAGTTATAGTAAAACCCTATTGTACTTATAATGATGGCTAATAATAGTTCAGTTACTTATCAAAATTAAATATTTCATTTACTTATTTCAACTATTTATTACTTATTTCAAATATTTCATTATTCACACTAAATGTCTTGCTGTGTGGTGTTCTTTGTTTGGGATAGTAAATTACGTTTACTATTTCGAATATATAGATATTGCATGGTTAATATTTAGTACATGTCTACATTACATTACACGGAAGATGTAGTGAGAGGAAGATCTTTGAGTCTTATATATATATTTTGCTGAAGGCTTTATTAGAAGGAGGCAAATGTTTGTATCGATGAATAAACTATTGAAGTAACATTTTCCAATAATTTATGATGATCAAATGTGAACCGTAAATCTCTATGGAGACTTTAGCAAGTAAGTGAAGTTTATAATAAATAGGTTGTGGAAGTTTTTATCAGGAGGAGAGAGAGGCTCAGATCGATGAATCTATGATGAAGTCACATGTTCCATCATTTGAGGAGAGATGAGTCAAAGCTCGCAATGAAGGTTTTAGACCACGATCCCTGTGGAGATTTCTACAACCAGTAAGGACTTAACTTAGTTGATAACACTGTGGTTATCTAGGACACACACCCTAAGTTTTACCGTATGCATGTTGTATGGCTAGTGTATCAATATAGCGATATGTTGCTACTCTGGATATGCAGCATTGTGTGGGTAAAGTTTAGGACGCATTACATTTATTATATTACAACTTATTATACACTGCACAAATTAAATAGATAATTAATAGATGAATTAACCCATACGAAGATTATATACATTCCACAAAAGATGTCGCTTGGGGGAGGGTTCTGGTTACTGAAGGCTTCACTAGAAGGAGGAAAATAATTGTATCGATGATTGAACTATTGAAGAGACATTTTCCAATAGTTTTTGATGATATATTATGATCCGTAAATCTCTATGGAGGCTTTAGTAAAGAAATATAATTTCTGTAATATTTGTGGAAGTTTTCATCAGGAGGAGAGAGAGGCTCAGATCGATGAATTTATGATGAAGTCACATGTTCCATCATTTGAGGAGAGATGAGTCAAAGCTCGCAATGAAGGTTTTAGACCACGATCCCTGTGGAGATTTCTACAACCAGTAGGGACTTAACTTAGTTGATAACACTGTGGTTATTTAGGACACACACCCTAAGTTTTACCGTACGCATGTTGTATGGCTAGTGTATCAATATAGCGATATGTTGCTACTCTGGATATGCAGCATTGTGTGGGTAAAGTTTAGGACGCATTACATTTATTATATTACAACTTATTATACACTGCACAAATTAAATAGATAATTAATAGATGAATTAACCCATACGAAGATTATATACATTCCACAAAAGATATCACTTGGGGGGGTTCTGGTTACTGAAGGCTTCACTAGAAGGAGGAAAATACTTGTATCGATGATTGAACTATTGAAGTGACATTTTCCAATAGTTTTTGATGATATATTATGATCCGTAAATCTCTATGGAGGCTTTAGTAAGGAAATATAATTTCTTTAATAGTTGTGGAAGTTTTCATCAGGAGGAGAGAGAGGCTCAGATCGATGAATTTATGATGAAGTCACATGTTCCATCATTTGAGGAGAGATGGGTCAAAGCTCGCAATGAAGGTTTTAGACCACGATCCCTGTGGAGATTTCTACAACGAATAGGGACTTCTGTTTAGTTGATAACACTGTGGTTATCTAGGACACACACCCTAAGCATTACTATATGTGCGTTGTATGTGTGGTGTATCAGTATAGAGATATATTGCTACCCTGGACATATGGCGTTACGTGGGTAAAGGTTTAGGACGCATGCCACATTTATTATATACCTAACACAAATTATTACACTGCACAAATATGTATATAATGGATGAATTAAACTGTATTGAATATTGTTTATATGAACCAGCTGAAGCAGTAGCAATTCGGTTCAGTATAACTTCCTTATAGATATAGAGATGTCTTTCGCATTCTATAAATAGTGGAACTATCAAATTAATACAGAATTATCATATTGAATTTATACGAATGCAACTATTAAAATACATCACGTTGAAATTAGTAATGTTAAGTGCACTTATCTTTTCTGTTGAGTATATTCTACATGAATAGTATAAACTAATAATTAAGGTTGTAATAAATTAACGTTAACTAATAGGTGAAGAAGTGTACATTAAGCAGTTAAGTAAAAAAGATATGTAATTGTGAATATTATAGTTTTGGGGGGTTATTAGTTGGGAATGGGAGGTTACCAGAAGTAGTGAAGGTGAGTGTTAATGCATTCTAAAAGGATCCTTTAAACCTACACCCGAGTCACAAGTCTCGGGCACCACTTGTGGTTCTCTCCCTGAACCATCAAGGGCCGATATGAATGCTGAATTGTCATCATAATTAGTGGGTTTAATAAACAGGTACATATAAAAGTATAATTGCTAATTAAGTTGGTATTATAATAGGACTATATTGTTTTCTTATTTAATAAAACCACTTGTAATGTTGAATTAATAAAATAAATTAATCTTGTTTTGGTGCTGAGAATACTCATCCCATTTCACTTTTAAATGGTGCATATTGCAACTCTACTTTGCATATCCCACATTATTCATTAAAATCATAATGGTTCAATGATTCAAATATAGACCTTATAATTATTATTCATAACATATACTCTGTATCATAATTTGTATTATTGAGATATGTATTTATCTCGCAGTTATTACTCCATCATATACCAATAAAAGAATCTATAGTTACTACAAACACAACGGGTCCACCGATACTAGACGATCACAATAATTTATTTATATGGCCAAATGATTAAAGATTAAGTGTTCCATGCGTATATGATCTATTATTTAGATGATCCTCCGATATTTAGAGAGGGTGTTTCAGTCTATTTTATAGGGAAGGGGGGGAACGTTACAGTACCCGTATACGTTAACAGCATATGCTGGCGAGACATCAATGAACGATGATATTCATCAAGGCAAGTTCACCTGGAATTATCCACGATAATTTCCAATGTGATCTCTTCGGAAAATGTGAAGTGGAGATCAACCGAACTGTACAAATTACTAACAATCCCATCCCTCCGATAAGAAAATATCATATTTATAAAAAAAAAAACAAAAATTAGTGAATATCTCAATTGAATTATAATCAGTTGGGATAAAATATGGATTAATCAATTTTCCATTCAAAGTCGCTCCATCTGATACGAACTAAATATTAATTTTCATTACAAAAGGACCATTGAGGCGTTAATATCTATCCATTGTGCCAACCAAAGTACCTACTGATAAGGAAAATTTGAATTTTATGTAGATACTTGAAAGGAGCTTAGTGCTGAAATACCAATAAACTTATCTTCTCTAGCTCATTTTTGCAGTATCAACCCAAACTACTTTGACCGCTCATAGTTCTATAATATATATAGAAACTACTTAAATTATCGACATGAAATATATTTAGATATTGTTTATAATTAACTAACTTAACCAATAATTAATTTCTTTTTATTTGTTTCAGATAATAAAAGAAGAACAGTAATGATATCGACCATATACAAGTCTAACAATGCAGATGTATACTAACAATTTGAAGTTGATTACCATATTTTGTATACAAAGTCAATAATTCCTACATAAACATTATGAGACACAACAATACAGAGGACAATACAAAAACGAAACAAATAGAACAGTACAAATATGTTAGTAGCAAACCTAATTGGTTTATGATGCCAAGTTAAAAACAATATAAAATTATGCCGACCGAACAATGGATAACAGATGAGCCTGTATTAAATGATACACTGACAATAGAGAATGTACACGATGTAAATTCAACAACATTCACTGATCCAATTGAGGATAAGGCTATCCAGGCAGCGTTCTGTATTGCGTACACTATCATATTCGTCGTTGGAATTTTTGGAAATGCTCTAGTATGTTACGCAGTCATCAGGAACCGAGCTATGCAAACTGTAACTAATCTCTTTATCACGAACTTAGCATTATCGGATATACTCTTATGTGTATTTGCCGTACCATTTACTCCTCTTTACACATTTCTTGGAAGATGGGTCTTTGGCGGTTTGTTGTGCCATATCATGCCTTATGCACAAGGTTGTAGCGTTTATATTTCAACTCTCACACTTACTTCCATAGCTATAGATAGATTTTTCGTCATAATCTACCCATTCAAACCTCGAATGAAAATCAAGACTTGTATTGGCCTAATCATTTTTATATGGGTTTTCGCATTGTCTGTTACTTTTCCTTATGGTTATTACATGGCACTTGAAGACGCTTATTGCGCCGAAAAATGGCCATCAGATCACATTCGTAAGGCTTTTGGAGCCGTTACTACTATAATGCAATTTGTTATACCTTTTATTGTAATGGCATTTTGCTATACTTGTGTTAGTGTAAAATTAAATGATCGATTGAAGTCTAGACCAGGAAGTAAGAATAGTAAGAAGGAAGATGCGGAAAGAGAAAGAAAAAGAAGAACAAATAGAATGTTAATCGCAATGGTGGCCATATTTGGCTTGTCCTGGTTGCCACTGAATCTTATAAATATTAGTAGTGACTTTTACTCCTTAGCAGAAGACTGGACCTATTATATGGTATTATTCTTCATTGCACACTTCATAGCAATGTCTTCCACTTGCTATAATCCGTTTTTGTATGCATGGCTCAATGAGAATTTCCGTAAAGAGTTCAAACAGATCCTGCCATGTTTAGGAGCTTTAGTTACAAAGAAATCTAAAAGAAAATTCAGTCAGTCTGAAAAAACTGGTGCATTTCGCTCAGAGAAAACCTGCAACGGTAATGATACTGTTCAGGAATCATTATTAGCATCAACAATTAATAAATTGCCTTCAGTTAGATATACAATAGAATTTGAAGAAAAGTTAAAAGGTCTTGAAGATGAAGGTATAGAGAATATAAGTCCCGATGAGAAGCCAGTGGACAACACAAGTCCTGATGAAGACCGTCTGAATATGTATATGTTTGTAGATAAAACACTAATTACTTCTGATAAGGAACCAATTGTATCAGCGTTGTAGTTTTATAGGTAAGTAAGCTTTTTGTAATATTTATGAATATATCAACAAAGTTTCTTAACATATTTTTAACTTCTATACATCTATATAGTCCACCCTACATGATGCTGAAGACAGCAACCACACTTTTGTGAAACTCAATCTAATAATCTTAACTGAATTTTTTTTATAGTCAATTATTTTATTGGATACAATAAAGCTTTCGTAAATTATCTACAATGTTACTTGTATGCCTGTCACACTCACCACGATGTAACGAGCAGAGTATAAAAAATGACAGTGCCTTTAAATAATTGGAATCTCTGACACAAAAGCGATAAGTAAAATTTATTTAGATACATCAGATATTGTTGCTGAACAGATTATAATAAAATTTTATATTTTTTCCATTATTGAGTTCAGCATTACTGTATTACAACATATACAATATAAAAATCAGTTACAATGAAAATTGCAATTACATATTATATTTCAAAATAATATAGATATAAAAAATTACAGATAATTAGTTTAATTTTTACTTCTATGAACGAGGTTAATGACTGCATGCCATATTAGCGGTCAAACAATCTCATTGCCAACATTTGATATTTATACAATTACTCTCTCTGCAGATAAGAGAATAATTTAATAATAAAGCATTTATGTCTCGGCTCAGTATAAGTAATAGTAATCCGATCTTGGTTTATCTGAGGCTGTTCGTGACAGGCCGATGACTTCGCAGTTCCAAAACTAAACGCTGGCACTGTGAATTACAGATACTAGATTAAGGAAATTAAAAGAATAGAATAGAAAAAATCTTTATTAAAATAAACTTATATAAGTACTTTTAAATAGTCATAGTTTTTTCACTCATTCGAAGGAGTGTTAGAATACGTACAAGAAAAATGAACAAGATTCTTGCTTATTACGAAAAAGCACGAATCTTGTTAAAGGAAAATGGAAAGAAGAAACTATAATGAAATAAATCTATAGGAATATGTAATAAAAGTGTAATAAAGGAAAAAACTATGTTTGCTATTTTCGCTAAATGAAATCTCGCAGATCACTAGTATAAAACGAAATTACACTGTTTTATTACTTCTTGATACGTGTTTTTAATGTATTTTTTTACCTGGAATGGTAAACCACCTGATGGTAAGTTGTAACTATGATATCACGTTATCATATGCCACCCGATATCACTCTTGGGTTTCCAATCCGATGAACATATATTATGTCATGCCTCTAATCTTGTAATTTGTCACTTATGTCACCATTCAAACGAAACAAAGCAAGCTTTGTTGCTAAAATAAATAGCCAGAGACTTAGACAATTTTTTATAAAGTCTGAGGTAGTACATATTTTAGGTTAACTCATGATAGCTTGGTAGGCTTTAGCTACCATGAAACTCGATGTTTCGAATTTTATATGTATATATATAAAAAAGACAATAATATGTCAATAAATCATACAATAAGTTAAAAGTAACATAAATTTACGTTAATAAACATATTTGTAATATATATCTTCTTAAATTCAATATATCCATATACGATATAAAATTGTGAAATATAATTCATACAATCAAATAAATTAATTTTACACCAGCAACAATTTCCTATGCACGACTCTCTCTTTATTTACTCCTTATTTTGTAAGTTAAATAAATACAATGTACAAAAATATAATAAAAATAAATTAAACTACATAAAAAATATAAATTATAAACAATAGTGAAGCGCTTCTGAAATATACATAGGTACATATATTAGTATTATACGAAATCTGACTCATTATCTATTTAGGTGAGTCTTGTAACGTGATTTACAATCGACTATAATGTTATTTATGTCGATTTCGTGCTACTTTTTTATGTTTATTGAGTTTATTTTCGTTTATTATTAGTACAATATCATATTCTCGAACAAATGTTTTTATTCTTATTATAAGAATGAAAGACTACTACAAACATCGACAAAAATAGGATCTCAGTGGTTGCTGAACTTTCAGTTGGTTTTTTTTATTTTAGTATAAATTTTTTTATGCTTGTATACATTATATATAATATCATTATATATAATATGTATTATATATAATGTAAAATGATATAGGTAGACTTCATAAAAAGTCATCTGCATGGGTACCTCATCTATTTCAGTCAAGCAGGTTTCTTTGTAAGTTATGTTTGGATTGAAAGATGAGATGAGGTAGTCAAATTGTATGACATCTCAGGTCTCCTGAATAGCAACGTATGAGAATTCGCGGGTACCAACTGATAACGTGATATCCGTATTGCTGTTCATGTACATACATAGCATAATTTCATTTAATCAGATATCCATTTTTAATCTTAATTAATTACAACTTTTCTTTAACTTTCTTTATATATAAATAAATCAACAAATTAAGTTTAAAAATATTTATCTGCCAGTTCTTGCAAATGTCTGAAATGGCTGGACCTATTTTAACGGGACTTTCACTCGCAGATAACTAATATTATAAGGAGTAACTTAGGCAAAACAAAATTCCATGCGGATCTATTCGTAGGTAATAGCTAGTTTATAAATAAAACAATTACATATAGAATTTTCATTACATTATTAGAAATTTGTAATGCACTTTTATACTCTTACAAATTTCTAATAATTGTCTAAGAATACTTAAGTCAAATAACACTGGTAATATGTTATGATTATACCTGTACTCCATACATAAAATATTACTCTAATTAATATATGTTTTATGTTATTTTCAGATAACGTTCCAGTCGCAGCGAAATATGAATATATACAACAAATAAGGATATTTTACAAATAATATGAAAAAATTCGTTGCATTTGTACACTGTAACAAATAATAGTTATCCCTTTTTTAGATATCGTCTGGTATCCTCAAAGAAATATGAAGTTTATTGTAAATATTATTGAAAAAGTATTTTCTTACTTTGATCTAACTTTATAAATATAGTACACAATTGATTTATTATTTCATTATAACAGTTCAAAATCAATTGATTGATTGAGTAGTAAATATCTTTTTTGAAATCGGTAATGTTTAATCTTTGTAAAATTTTGTTTTGACATCTTTACATAAGAACCAAATACAGTTAAATTACTCGCTGTCATTAAAAATAAATAATTGTTTATTTAATTAATTTCAAATACAAATTTTTTGCGACAAATATACGTTCATTTTTATACATTATGTATAAATTACACATTATGTTATTAATCTTAGTACCTACAACTCCTTCATTTTTAATTGAAGCACTTTGCCAAGTAAATTACTAACAGGCAGAAAATAAATAGAAACTAATTATTTTTATACGTTTTGTAAATTTTAGCATTTATTCGAGAGGTCTTTAATCTTTGTAGCTCCATTTTTAAATCATGAAGAAGATTATTTAATTATGATTTAAATAATAGTCAACCAATCCGAATTTTTACATTAATTTCTTTTGAAAATATAACTCATAAATAAAAATAAATGAATGTTTTAAATTCAATATAAGGAAAACAAAGTATCTGTTATTTAATTATAATAATATCAGAATATGATCTGATTTCAATAGATCATCATATAAATGTCGAAATCCATAGGACATCGAATTTTTAAAATTATGATGTCATTGAAACATGTAAATAATTAGTATCTAATAATATATATACTAAATCAATGATAAATGTAAATATATGTAATTTAAAAAAGTATTTACGTCAATTATGTAGTTCCATGTGAACTTTGAGCCCATTGTCGAAAGTACTTTTTGAATCTAGATATTACGTAGTAAGTAGTGAAGAAATTTCAATTGTATAGTTAGAAACATCATAACTATTTTTATAACTGTATAAAACATATTGTGTATAATATATATATATGATACAACGCCTTGTATTTAATGTCAATGGAGAAATATGTGCAATTTGTTGTAATTAAATATAAATAAAGTATACCAAAGAGAATCTTTTTTTATTTCATCATTACATTAGTTTACCACCGAGGCTGACGCATCAGAATTAGAAAATTCCCAGCTTAACAGTAACAGGCAAGAAAAAATATTAAACATTAAGCAATATTTTACACAGCTACAGTATACAATATTCTATCATAATGATATATGCATTTATCAATAAGTTCACAAATATTCTCTTTTCATTTCAAGCATTAAGGACTATTTCTTAATTGTTAAGACGGACTCGGTAGTCTAGCGTTAAGCACACTACCTTACTTTCCAATGGTCGCAGGTTCGATTCCCTGCACTGTACAGATATTTGTATCCATGAGTATGATTGTTTGTATCGAAAACACCTAGATGTTTTCTATGTATATTACGAATTTACAAAAAAAAGTATTTATATCAGCAGAACTTGTGTTATGTTGGTACTAGACAACTAGTACCAACATAACACAAGTTCTGCTTAGTTTTGGATTAGATGACGCTGTGTGAATTGTTTTAAGATATTATTATGTAAAGTAATTACAAAAAAATATTTAAGTATATACATCAATTGTCTAGTACCCATAACACAAGCTCTGCTTAGCTTAGGCCTAAATGGCACCGTGGCACGTTCCAGGGTTATTCTTACTAATATCATTATTAGCTACAAGCTTTACTACGAATATGTTTGTATTCTCCATACCCAGTACGTAGTCATGCAAACTGATGATTCATTTAGTCATAAGTTAAGAAATCTCAGTAAGTATTTATTACTAGCTTAACCCGCGACTTCGTCCGCGTGGAATTTAACTTTATTTTTCTAAAATAAAAAAAATCTGAAATAAAAGTAGTCTAAGTAACTCCTTATTTCATCAGCTACCTACCAAAAAAAGTTCCGTCAAAATCGGTCCAGCCATTTCAGAGATTAGCTGGAATAAACAGACAGACAGACAGACAAAAGTTGTAAAAATGTTATTTTGGTGTATGTATCGTATAAATTTATATTCATATGCTACATGCATATGAATATAAATTTAAAAATACGGTTATTTAAATTTTACAAACAGACACTCCAATTTCATTTATATATATAGGCTTAGTTTTCGTGTATATGATAAGATTTTGTTAGTTGTGAATGTAATATGGAAAAACACGTAACACTTAAATCTTTTTTTTTTCACAGTGGAAACTTAAATATAATAATAAAGCCAGGATGATTTTTAATGGAAATAAAGGTCAGAATACTTAAGTGCGTTCGTTATAATTGAGTTCTAAAAGTATTAAAGTACTACAACAATCCTCAGTGTTCGGAAAATCGTTATTGTTTTAACTTTTATATCTGTACATACAAGTTATTTTCATTATCGTTATTTATAGTAGGTATTCTAATTAAGCTGAGGGCCGCCTGAATCGAATATCCTAATAGTTATTTAGATACGTTCCTCTCTTTTACTTTAATCGCCATTATTAGATCTACCTTAGTACTGAACGATAGACTTTCTAAAACCTACCTATACAAGTTCATTGCTGGTACTTACTTACCATCAAGTGTTTACTGTAGTATTGTATGCCTATGCTATAAAAAACAGTTATGAACGTTGGGTATTATATTATAGAATATAGTTGCTGAAATTCTCGACAGACATTTCAACTTAATCCTAATTGAATCGCATCAAAGAATCAGACTACAATAGGTCTACATGTGAATCTAAACTCAATAATGATTTGATTACAATCCAGTAATGTAGATGCCTACCGTTCTTTTGAAATGGAATCATGAAAAAAATGGATAAATCCGGATTAAAGACAACCAAATATAAAAAAATCTTACCTACTAGTGACACAATTATATGTGGACTTTATTCACTTAGAAGCGTATAGCGTTAGTATTATTAATCCATGCACTTATTTTTTTTAGTATATATTTGTACATGCTGTTAATTGCACAGTTTTATATTATTTTGTTTACATGAAGATTTTATTCGTCACTTTTTGCATGAAACTATGATAACTCTTTTAGAATCATTACAAGTCGTTACATAGTTCCAATATTTAATTCATTCTTAGAAAGATGACGGTAACTCTTATAAAACTTAATTTTAATTGCTCTGAAAAAAGATTCAATATCATGAAACACTTTCTCTGTAAAAATGAAAACTTTAAATTCATAATGCTCACAATATTATCTGATTGCACTAAGAATGAGTGCGAAGCGGTTTCTATGTTGATTATGGCATGTCTTTGACTTGTTATTGTGAAATTATCTATTTAAAAAACATTTAACTAATCAAAAGTGAGTGTTATTGAGTTTATTTCAATAAAAAATATTTCTTATTCTTCTTATCCTATTTCGGCGGTTAAACAATTTAAAAATACGAAAATGAATGAAGTTTTATTGCAAATAAAAAAAAGAAGTTTCCAGAATAACTGTCTAACTGTCTAACTAGTCGTGATTCGAAATGGAATAAGACTTGTAAAGAAAGCAACCCATTTAATCCTGACACAGTCGAACACCTCTGATCTATCTAATTACTTAACAAGCAAGGGTAATTGGGGGTGCTATCGTCAGGTTGGATTGTGGGCCAAATATCGGACGTATACGTAACAAACTTAGCCAATTAGCGCAGGTAAACTTTGCAACATTGTAGAAGATCCACAAAGGTAGCGGTGACAGGCAGCGAAAATTTATAGTTATTATTGGGGAAACTTTTTAATTTGTCTCCTAATCTAAGTGCGGTCTGGGAAATCTAAGATACTGACAAAAGGTATAAAAGAAAATCGAATTGTTCAACTTGATAAATCACTGAATTTCAATTTATTACAAAATTTTGTTCAAATTTAAATAGATGCATACCTTTTCTCTAAAATGTAACAACGTAAAATCCCTAAATAATTTTTTAGATTACTAATAATATTTAAATTACATTTTAGTAACAAAGAATTATTTCTTTTTTAATCTCTAAGTTTATTTAGAGATTTTTATCAGAATAAGATAATACTATTCCCATCGTACCTCATTCCTACCTTTAGCTTCAATTATACAACGAAAATAAAATTTCTGCTGATATAGGATCAGATAATATACCGCAGTACATACCAATATCAAGCCGATTCAGTCCAACTTTTTTTATGCACAATTCCCTTTGATGTACTTAACATCTTGTCGAGATATTCTTAATAACTTGAATTTAGGCATCACGTTGCAAGTTTATAAGTATAACTCTAATTACTATGGACTTATAAAAGACCTGCGTCGGTTTCAAATAAGTTTTTTATTTGACAGATGACAAATGATATTCAGTCATAAAATAGCTTAAATTCAATATTAGTGTTTTATGTTTAAAAATTGTAATCAATATTCGAAATTCAAATATTTAGAAGCTGTCATTTACTTCTTTTCTTTTGAATGAGGGTCCAATTTTTTAAATTATAATGTACAAAAATTTTATACGTTTTTTAGTCTTCTAAATTTAACTATAACTATCGGTATATATTATTATTATTATAGCTTGATAATATAACATAAACCTAGGCAACGGTAGCGGCCCCTTATATATAAAATTATATAAGCATATTCTAGGTAGATACACAAAAATGTAAACATTGCGGTCTAAATCCGGAAAAGTAACAATAACTTTAAAAAGGTTTGTTTATGGTGTGCAGACCCATAAACAAACCTTTTTCAAGCTTTCTCATAACAATACTCGGAGACTTGCAATACATACAAATGGGAGGCGAGATTTGTTTTTACTTGCCCTCGTGTCGTTTGACAGAGGCCTGGGATAAATATATAATATTATTTTTACTAGCAAGCCCGCCATTTTATTCTAGTGCTAGTACTTGTGAGCTTGAGTGTACAAAGTATTCGATTCCATTAGTGTAAAAAATGGAATTAATTTAATATTTGCCTACGTACCAGTTCTACATATAAAAATGTAGAAGTCTGTAAAGATTGTATGTTTGTTTTTCAGTCATACTTACATGTTCATATATTTTTGGATACACATAATCTTAATTAACGTAAATTGTACCTTTACATCATCACGGCCTAATATTTGACGGCCTCGTCTTATCACACTGCCTTACCTCCTATGATAACGCGTTCGATTCCTCGCACGGTACAAACATTTGTATGCATGAGTATAATTATTTGACTTGATATTATTTATGCATAATATGTATATATAAATATATATATATACATTTAAAATTATATAGTTCTAAGTATCGCGGGCTCAATAAATAGACTTCACAGCAAATAAAATGTCATAAGTATTTACTATGAAAGCACACTATAATAACTTATTTTATATTCATAGACTGTCTCGAATCCAAGCGACTCTAGATCTGAATATTGATGAGGAGTTCAC